ATTAAGCCTATTACATTCAGAAATGTCTTTGTTCCTTTAATAATTATTTGTTGGTACTGAAAATTGAACTCAGGGATGCTTTACCCCTGAGCTACATCTCCAGTGCCTTTGTTCATATTTAAATTTTATTTTTTATTAGTGAATTTCAGTTACACGTAACATTAAGGTTTATTTTGACATGAAATCATACCACTTTTAAACGGGGATTATTCTAACTGATTAAAATAAATACAAATATTAAATAGCCATCAGCACATCCAAAGTAACCAAAAGCTCCTCAACTGTTTTTTATGAGTTTTATGCTTCTAGCTATTACACAAAGGACTTTGATCCTTTTTAAAAAAATTTTACTTTTGTACATGATGTGAGGTACGTATCCAAATACTTTTTTTTTTTCTTCTTGTGGATATCTAGTCATCCCAGGGCCATTTTTGCTTTTGCTTTTACTCTTGAAAAATATAAGGTGTGTGTGTGTGTGTTCCCTCTGAACACCAGTCACAAATTGCTGCCCACACAGTTACAAATTGCCACCCCTGACCTGCACAGTCAGCTGAACTTAAGGTCACTCGTGTGAAATTCCAGGGACACCAAATAAAACAGACACACTTTTCCTTTACCCAAGCTTCAGGACGGCTTCTCCACTCTTGACCTCAGGATCCCCAAAAGGGAGGGCAAGAGAAAGTCACGAGAGGCTGGTGAGAAAGTGACACATTCAGAAGAGAGCTTTTATTGGGGAACCCTTGTTCTTAGAAAGTTCTATTCAAAAATGGCCAGAGGGGGCAGGGTTTCAAGAGACACATGAGTATAACTCAACCCTCGTGGGTAACGCCTACATCTGAAGACCCCCCTCTTTATCTGAGCTGGGACAACGCCCAAGTCACCAGAAATGTAGTGACTGGTCAGAGCCTCGTGCTTCAGGACGAGAAGGCGTGGGTCATTCAGAGGGGCTTCCCACATAGCCGTCCTTCTTTCTTTGAAAAACCAGGTGATGGGTCATTATTTTGAGTCCCTAAATTCTTGTTCTGGGGGCATGACATCCTATAATTACAACACAAGAGAGAATTAGTAGCAACGAGAACAATACAAGGATATATCATGCAGAGGGATTAAGAATGTTTCCAGGGTTAAAGCTGGAAAGTATTTGATCAGCTAAAGAAGTAGGATCTGAAAAATCAATCTTACTTTTTTGTATATCTTGAGTCTGATGATGCAGCTCCAAAAGATCCAAGCTGTTATCATTCTTCTGCCAAATACCCAACAAATGGTTTTGAACCTTCTCCCAATACCAATAAGAAGCATTGCATTTGGCAGCAGTAACACACACATACTTACACCTAGCAGGACATTTAAGTCTTTCCTTGAATTTCAAAGTGGAAAGTTCATTACCTATATTCATGACAGCAGTCTAAGGCATTTAGCTTGGTCTCAATCCTTTCATCAACATTTATTTGATTGTGAAGAGCCTTGGAAGTATTCTGAGCCAAATTATTAAGAAAATTTGCATGTTGAATATTTGAGATATGGCCACCAAAGCTGTGACCACGGAAGCAATAAAAGAAACCAAGGCAACAACTCCCACTATTATGAGCCCAAGAGCACATTTAGGTCTCGCTAGCTGGGCGTGTATTTGTTGTAAGACTTGAAGCATCAGCATCAGCCTACCATGGCTCTGAAATATTTACTGGTACTAAGACAAAAGAGGGCTGATGGAGTATCATTGTTCCTTTTTCTCTAGTATTTCTGTTGTTACAATTAGTTAAATTACATTTACTACATGTAACAAGATATCTATCGTCTTCCCTTTTAACTTTTACATTTCTAGTAATTAAAGCATAAGGAGATTGAACACAGGCCCATAAGCCATAGCTAGAACCTTCCTTCTAGTTCTTGCTTACAAAGTCTGGTAAAGGTTTCTCAGTAAGATGTAAGAATTCTGAGGCAGCAATTAAGTGCCAAACATGTTTCTGAATGCCACCTTTGCTGAAGGTCAGGATGTCAATAAGTATGGAGACTCCTTGCAAAACTAGCATGGAACCACCATTTGACCCAGCTATCCCTCTCCTCGGACTATACCCAAAGGACTTAAAAACAGCATACTACAGGGACACAGCCACACCAAGGTTTATAGCAGCACACTTCACAACAGCTAAACCATAGAACCAACCTAGGTGTCCTTCAACAGATGAATGGATAAATAAAATGTGATTATATATATATATTCCGCCACCAATTGAATATTACTTAGATTTAAAGATGAATGAAACTACGGCATTCGGTGGTAAATGGATGGAGTTGGAGAATATCATGCTAAGTGAATTAAGCCCCCCCAACACACACATACACACAACACAGAGGCCAAATGTTCTCTCTGGTAAGTGGATGTTAATTCACAATGGGGGGTGGGGAAGAATAGTGACTTTAGATTAAGTAGAGAGGAGTGCAGGGAGGGGAGGGGATATGGGGATAGGAAGGATAGTAGAATGAAACAGACATTATATATAATATATAATATATGTGGATGCTAAACCACTCAACAAGGGTGGGGGAGAGAATAGAAATTCAGTGGATTAGACAAAGTTGGAACGAAGGGAAGAAAAGGGAAATAGGAATACAGATGACAGTAGAATGAATGAGACACAACTTTTCTGTGTTCATATATAAATACACCACCAGGGAAGGTCCACACCATGTATACCTCAAGAATGGAATGCTAACTAAAATAAGTTTTACTCCATGTATAATATGTCAAAATTTGCTCTACTGTCGTGTATACCTAAAAAGAGTAAGAAATTTTAAAAACAACAAGGGAAAATTTGTATACAGAGAAGGATTGTGAGTGAAAATCTCTTCAATAAATGCTAAAGTCATTAAGGGTAAATACAATTATAAAAGAGTACCTTGAGCCCATACAAAATAATAAACAATGGTAAATAGACTTGCCCAAGTCAGTCTGCGCAACTAGCTATAGTCACAAAATTTTTGGTTTACAACTCTTTTCTATTTGTTTTACAAAGCAGCACAAGAACAATACTTACAATTTGAGCAGAGAGGAAATATTACATAGCAGTGTTATGAATACTATTAATAGTGCTGTGTGTACTCAAAGAAAGCATTCTCAATTTCCTCCCCCATGCAATAAAAAATCATGTAGTTGAAAGATACACTACTTACTGATTAGATAACACATACATGTGTTTGTGACATTAAGTATGTGGGCAGCTGCTCAACTTCACAGGTCAAGTCCAATAGATAAGGAAGACACTCTCTTCACACCAGACAGTGTTTCTTTGAGTAATACTATGAAAGCAAGAGAGAAAGCAAAAGTAACAGACACAGGCTACTGTATTGCCAGACTAGGAAAACCCCAACACTGAACCTATGTACTGAGGAGTCCCAAATAGCTTTTCAGGGTCCTGACTGGGAAGTCATGGGCAGAGTATCCTCTCCACAGGTGAGAGTCTGAAGTCTTGTTCTAACTTGTATTTAAAATGGGGCTGAATCAATACAAGTTAGAATGAAGCTTTCCTTGTTGTAACAGCTTGCATGACCTAGTGATCCCATGAAGAACACTAGGTCCTCCTTCAACAGGTCAGATCCCAGAGGAGGGAGTGATAGCCTTGAGATGAGTAATTATATTGGGGTTTCAATGAGTGAGCCACCGAGCCAGATGCTTTGAGAAATCGGCATTCTTGAGCTGTATCATCAAGGATAAGCAGACTCATGCAGGCACATGGAAAGGGAGGATCTTTAATATTTTCCTGAGACCTCTAGTACTGAATCTTCCCTCCTGGCCTTATAAATAGTTAAAACTCATATGGAAAATGAATCCAGTTTTCTGTGTAAAATAACATGGAGTGGAGATAAGCATGAAACCTAAAGAGTTACCCTTTGGAATAAAAAATAGTGTGAATATTATTCTCCTAGAACTTATCATTATATTTCAATATTTATTTTCCCAAATAAAGTTAAATGAAATGTTTGTGGGTGGTGTTTTGTTGACCCTAAGGGCTCACATATGAAGAGAATATTGTGTTTTTACTTTTTGAACAGGACTTGTAGATGAGAGTCTAGAGGTTTATTTCAATCAAAATTGTGTTTCTCTCTCTCTGTGGTGTCATGGGCTCCTGGAGCTGTAAGATCTGAGGAGGGACAGGGTTAGTTTATAGTATCTTATAATTACTGGTTGCAGAGGGGTCTGGGAGACCATGACGCATGCTATCTATCATATAATCCAATAAGTATAACAAACCTTATATTGTAAGTTATTAAGTAGAATGAAAAAGGTCTACAAAATCAAACTATATAATGAAATTAAAAATGTGGGGGCATAAATGCTCCTATAGTGTGTCTTTTTCTTTTTACAGTCATCATTTTACATGTTTCTGGTTACACTTTTCTACTGGGTATCCAAGACTAAAGAGGTGGTCCTATATTGGGATGTTCTTCCTACAATTGAGGTCAGTCTAGTCTCCTCAGTGATGAACGTCATGGAATTCATGAGGAACTGCATGGTTTCTTCAGTTCAAGAGTCAGGATGGGCCTGTGGACCATGTGGTTTCCCTGGGAAACATTGAGACTACTTCCCCTTCAGCAACCCTCCTTTTACCTGAATATGCACATTGGCTCCTAGTCTCTTGGGTCTTTCTCCTCTCCCTGATTGGGAGCTTGTGCAACTCTCCAGAGTTGTAGATCCCTTAGGGAGTACTGCAACTCTATAAGGTGAAATGTTAAAGTTGTAATTCAAACTAGGGATATCTGGGCATCATTTTAGTATTCCTAGGTCCTTCCTGTAACTTATTTTTGGCATAATTACAAACAAAAGAATATATAATTCACATAAATAATATTCCCCAAATAAAACTTGATTAAATATATGAAATAATTAATGGAGACGTTATAGCATTATTTACCCAATAGAATGTTTTGCTATATTTGATGCATTACCAAAGTGAATAGTGGGAGATGTGTGACCTAATAACATCATTAAATGCATGTCAAGGTTAACATTAAGAAATTCATACTTTATTTAGTAACAAATTGCATCCATAATGCAAATATAATTAAAAATGCTCTGTAAAATGGGCATGGTGGTCCATGCCTGTGACCCTAGGGACGTGAGAAGCTTTGCAAGTTAAAAGCCAGGCTCCATAACTTGGTGAAGCCCTAAACAAGTTAGCAGACTGTATCTCTAAGTAAAAATGAAAAAAAAATCTGAGGATGCAGTTTACTGATTAAGTGTCCCTAAGTTTAAGTACAAACATAAAAACCAAAAATTTAAAATTTCATATAAACCTTAAGAGACTTCTGTAATAATCAAACTATGAGAATTATGTTTTCTCCAGTTGAGAAAAATGAGAATATGTAGTAACTGTTGATTTATAGTACAATTATATCCTTTTAGGGATGCACTATTCTATATTTGTATTTCTTTATTTCTACAATATCAGCTAAAGATGTTAAGAAAATTTTCAGCAAATGTCAAAAGCAATAACCCATTTTCTACATTTAAATGATTTTTTCCCTCCTAGGTCCCAAATACTTCAAGGGATGGGCTATAGATAAGAAACTTACAAATTTTTATACTTGTCAAATTGTTTTTTTAATATTTTGTTGTTATCTAATGTACATACTTTGAACAAATGCTACTCCACATTTGCTACAGGTATGAGGTCAGAAATTTAAAAATGTGTGAAATTTGAATACACATTCTTTGGGTTTCTATATGCTGTAAATCCTCCAGTGTTTCAAAAATGTTTGATCAATGGCCAAAAGCTTTGCAAAAATTTTTCCACATGTCCTCTCACTCGTATGAATTCTGAGGTGCTGAGTAGGGTGTGAACAACTGTTGGAGACTCTGACACCTATTTTACACTTGTATAATTTCTGTGCTATCATATCTCTGGTGTGAAATAGTGTTGAACTACTGTGAAATAAGGGTTGATTCATCCTTAAAACACCGATGCAATGTTTTCACTTGTAAAGCTTCTCTCCAGTATAAAATCTATAATGTTTAGTAAGATATGATCTTCAATTTGAAAAGGTTTGCCATTCTTCACATTTTTAGGACTTCTCTCTAGTATGGGTTCTCTGGTGTTGAGTAAGTATTGATTTTTGATTAAAAGCTTTGCCACATTCTCTACATTGGTAGGGCTTCTCTCCAGTATGAATCCTCTTGTGGCGACTATGCTGAGAGACAGTATTAAAAGCTTTGCCACATTCTTTGCATTTGTAGGGCTTTTCTCCAGTGTGGATTCTCTGGTGTTGAGTAAGTGACGATCTTTGCCTAAAAGCTTTGCCACATTCTTTGCAGGTGTAGGGCTTCTCTCCAGTGTGGATTCTCTGGTGGTCAGTAAGTGATGCTTTGTGACGAAAACTCTTGCCACATTCTTTACAGTTGTAGGGCTTCTCTCCAGTGTGGACTCCCTGGTGCTGAGTAAGTGATGATTTTTTAATGAAACTCTTGCCACATACTTTACATTTGTAGGGCTTCTCTCCAGTATGAATCTTCTTGTGGCAACTAAGATGTGAGATGCGATTAAAAGCTTTGCCACATTCTCTACATTTGTAGGGCTTCTCTCCAGTATGAATCCTTTTATGACAGTTAAGTTGTGAGATGCTATTAAAAGCTTTGCCACATTCTTTACAGTTGTAGGGCTTCTCTCCAGTGTGGATTCGCTGGTGCTGAGTAAGTGAATATTTTTTATTAAAACTCTTGCCACACACTTTACAGTTGTAGGGCTTCTCTCCAGTGTGGATTCGCTGGTGCTGAGTAAGTGATGGTTTTTGATGAAAACTCTTGTCACACACTTTACATTTGTACGGCTTCTCTCCAGTATGAATCCTGTGGTGGCAATTGAGCTGTGAGTTTGTGTTAGATCTTTTGCCACACACTTTACATTTGTAGGGCTTCTCTCCAGTATGAATCCTTTTGTGATAATTACGCTGTGAGATGCTATTAAAAGCTTTGCTACATTCTCTACATTTGTAGGGCTTCTCTCCAGTATGAATCCTTTTGTGATAATTACGCTGTGAGATGCGATTAAAGGCTTTGCCACACTCTTTACATTTGTAGGGCTTCTCTCCAGTGTGGATTCGCTGGTGATGAGTAAGTGATGATTTTTGACTAAAACTCTTGCAACACACATTACATTTGTAGGGCTTCTCTCCAGTATGAATCCTGTTGTGGCGATCAAGATTTGAGTCTATATTAAAACTCTTGCCACACACATTACATTTGTAGGGCTTCTCTCCAGTATGAATCCTGTTGTGGCGATCAAGATGTGACTTTGTATTAAAATTTTTGCCACACACTTTACATTTGTAGGGCTTCTCTCCAGTATAAATTCTCTGGTGATTTTTTAGGCTTGGTTTTTGATTAAAAGCTTCGCAAACTTGTTTACATATGTGGGGCATCTCTTCAATGTGTGTCCACTGGTGACAAATAAGACTGGAGCTTTTATTAGAAGTTTTTTCACATTCTTTGCATGGCATATCTCCTGTATGAACACTGTGATGTTGAGTAAAATTCTTGAGTGTGTTGCATTCTTCATATTGGTAGGTCTTCTCTGCAGAAAAAATTTTTGGGTGTTGAGTAAGAGTTGAATAATCTTTTAAGGCTTTGCTAGACTTTTTACATTTACAGGCCTTTTCTTCAGTATAAATCCCCTGATTCTTAACAAGTTGTACCTTTCACTAAATGTTTTTCTCCTTTCTTTTAAATTTGTAGGGTTTATCATTGTCATAGTATCTGCATGTTTAAAGATTATATTGGTTTGCTCAACATCTTCTAAACTTATAGTGCTCTCTTTCTCCATACATTCTCTTGTATCCACATTTTTCATTTTGGTAAACCCCATTACATTTACATATAGAAAATTTCAATTTCTACATACATGGGCAGAATAAAAGGCCAATCAAGATAAAATACAAAAGTCATAGACAAAATAGGCTTAATATTTATCCAAGCAAAAGCACATATAACATTATTGGCAATACAAACAAGAGTCATGCATATCTTAATTTGTGAAGGAATTAACTGATATGAGGAAACCCAGTAATAACATGGAACCGACTGTACACAAAGAAAAAATCAACCAACCAAATTGTAAATATCCACAGATGTATTGTTTTACAAATCCTCTTATTCAACTACAACTTACACCATCTCTCAAAAGAGCAGTCTTTGTCCATCTGACATTCATTCCATGGCAAATAATTTCACAGAAAATCCATTACACATATCAGAAAGAACACTGATAAGGAAATTTTAGTGAAAAAAAATGTACAAATAAGATTAGAGAAACTGACTTATGATAGCAATATATTACAATGGGTGGACCTAGAGGTCTCCAGAAATGTGCAGAAATTTCCTGTAAATAATGAAGAGGGGCTGGAATTGTAGACTAGTGGTGGAGGGCTTGCCTAGCATGTGTGAGGCCCTGGGTTCGATCCTCAGCACCACATATGGATAAATGGGAAATTCATTAACAACTAAAAATATTTTTTTAAATGATGGAAGAGCTATCAGATAATATTGACACTCACAAGGCAAAGGGAGAGTTTTGTTGTTAATTTGAGTGTACGGAGACATTACTGGAGGAAAAGCAGGAGACTAGATAATTTTAAAGCACAAAACACAGGACAGGTTCTTCTATGATGACAAGAGAAAGAAATCAAAGCTTCTCAAAAATCCTTTCTGCTGGATAATGTCTCAATCAACCTTTTTGAATTTAGGCTTCCTCCTCTACCTCAACTATGTCCTCTGCTATATGTGGGCCACAGGATTTGACATCACTGCATTCCTCTAAGTCAACCATATGTCAAGTAAAGGATGTATATTATGCCAACGAAGGAAAACATTAAGGACGAAAAGAAACATCATTAACATTTTCTTGTCAGCACCAAGAACTACCCCATCTTTTTTATTGAATGCAAAAATCTGAAACTCATTCTTATGGTGAAGTTCCCAAAAGATCTACTTCAAGGGAAGAAAATTAAATAATGATAAATAGGAATTTTGAGGGAAAGTTATGCTCACCCACAAAGACCAGGTTGCTGTAGGTCTCCAACATCACTTCTCTATATAAATTCTGCTGAGCAGGATCCAGGCATTCCCATTCCTCCTCAGAGAAATCAATAGCCACATCCCTGAATGTCAATGGCTCCTGAAATAAAAATTGTTAGATCAATAGCACACACACCAAACCATTATTCAGTTTTTGTTTTGAATTAAGAGTTAGTAGAACGGACTGTCATGTAGGAGAGTGACTTTAATTATGTCATAAGATACTTTCCATTATCTAATTCAGAGGAAAATACATAAGTCCAAAAACAGTATATATACTCCATATCAGAGTGAAGTGAAGGATATATACCATAATCCAAGCACCTAATAAAAGCCCAACTCCTAACTCTTCTGCCATCACTGAATGTGAAATTTGGCAGACATTCCAGATGCAAATCAGACTTGTCAGAGATATTCTCATAAGGTGATTGTGCCCAAGGGAGACAAAAAGAGTGGTAAAAAAGCTTTTGAAGACAGTCTGGTTGCTATTCTCTCTGCTTTGTGTCCATGAGATAGATTGAGCTCCCCGATACAATTAGTTTCAAGTATCATCCATGACACATTCCCAATGTGTAAAATATTCATAAAATATTAATGTTTGGAGACATGTAACGTGACACTTCCACCTCGTGAAAGGACAAACTTGAAATATCTCAAGTTCTATAAGCAGTTCAACGAGTGAATCAATTTGGTACAATAGAATGAACAATGGGTCACAGAAGACTTCAAGGAGGAGATTAAAAAATTCTTAGAGGAAAACAAGAACACAGACACAACATATCAATATCTCTTGGACACTATGGAAGCAGTACTAAGAGGAAAGTTCATTGCATGGAATTCATTCCTTTAAAGAAGAGAAAGTCAATCATTGATCTCATACTTCATCTCAAAGCCCTAGAAGAACAAATCAACAGCAAAAGCAGTAGAAGGCAAGAAATAATTAAAATTGGAACTGAAATTGAATTAAAAGAAACAATTAAACCTTGACAAAAAGTTGGATCTCTGACAGACCCGTAGCTATGCTAATGAAAAGAAGGAGAGGGAAAATTCAAACTACCAGCATACATGATGAAAAAGGCAATATCACAACAGACACTACAGAAATAGAGAGGATAATTAGAAATTATCTTAAAAATGTATACCCCAATAAAATAGAAGACAGTGAATTAATTCCTATGATATTCCCAGATTGAATCAGGAAATATACACAATTTAAAGAGACCAATATTAAATGATGAAATAGAAGATGCCATCAGAAGCTTACCAACCAAGGAAAGTCCAGGACGAGATGGATACACAGCCAAGTTCAACAAGACCTTTAAAGAAGAACTACAAAAATACCAAATACTCTTCAATTTATTTCAGGAAATAGAGGAACAAGCAGCACTTCCAAACTCATTCTATGAGGCCAATATCACCCTGATCCCAAAACCAGGCAGGGACAAATGAAATAAAGAAAACTTCAGGCCAATATCTCTAATGAAAATCAATGCAAAAATTCTGAATAAAATTCTGGCAAATTGAATTTAAAAACATATTAAAAAGGTCGTGCACCAAGATCAAGTGGGGTTTGTCCCAGGGATACAGGGTTGGTTCAACATATTTAAATCAATAAAGTTAATTCATTACATCAATAGACTCAAAAATAAGAATCATATGATCATCTCAAGAGACACAGAAAAACCAATTGACAAAATACAGCACCCTTTCATGTTCAAAACACTAGAAAAACTAGAGATAACAGGAACATATCTCAACATCATAAAGGCTCTGTACACTAAGCCTCAGGCCAACATCATTCTAAATGAGAAAAACTAAAGGCATTCCTTCTAAAAACTGGAACAAGACAGGGATGCTCTCTCTCACCATTTCTATTCAACATAGTTCTTGAAACACTAGCCAGAGCAATTAGACAGACAAAAGAAGTTAAAGGAGTAACTACAGGAAAAGAACTTAAATTAGCACTATTTGCCAACAATATGATTCTATACCTAGAAGACCCCCAAAGCACCACCAGAAAACTTCTAGAACTAAAAAATGAATTCACCAATCAGCAGGATATAAAATCAACACCCATTAAATAAAGGCATTTCTGTATATCAGTGACAAAGCCTCGAGAAGGAAATGAGAAAAACTACCCCATTTATAGTAACTTCAAAAAAAGAAAAAATAAGATACTTGGGAACCAACTTAACAAAAGAGGTGAAAGATCTATACAACAAAACCTACAGAATCCTAAAGAAAGAAATCAAAGAAGACCTTAGAAGATGGAAAGATCTACCTTACTCTTGCATAGGCAGAATTGATATTATCAAAATGACCATACTACCAAAAGCACTGTACAGATTTAATGCAATTCTGATCAAAATCCCAATGACATTTCTCATAGAAAAAGAAAAAGCAATAATAAAATTCATCTGGAAAAATAAGAGATCCAGAATAGCTGAAGCAATTCTAAGCAGGAAGAGTGAAGCAGGTGGTATCACCATACCAGACCGTAAACTATACTACAGAGCAATAGTAATAAAAACAGCATGGTATTGGCACCAAAACAGGCTGGTAGATTGACCAATGATACAGAAGAGGGGACCCAGAGACTAACCCACAAAATCACAATTATCTTATATGAGACAAAGGTGCCAAGAACGTGCACTGGAGAAAAGATAGCCTCTTCAACAAATGATGCTGGGAAAACTGGAAATTCATTTGCAAAAAAAATGAAATTAAACCCCTATGTCTCACCATGCACAAAACTCAACTCAAAGTGGATCAAGGACCTAGGATTTAAACCAGAGACTCTGCATCTAATAGAAGAAAAAGTAGGCCCTAATCTTCATCACATGGGGCTAGGCCCCAACTTCGTTAATAAGATGCCTATAGCACAAGAATTAAAACCAAGAATCAACAAATGGGATGGATTCAAACTAAAAATTTTCTTCTCAGGAAAAAAAAACAATCTGAGGTAAACAGAGAGCCTACATTCTGGGAGTAAATTTTTATCCCTCACACATCAGATAGAGAACTAATGTCTGGGGTATATAAAGAACTCAAAATGCTAAGCACCAAAAAAGGAAATAATCTAATCAAGAAATGGGTCAAGGACCTGAACAGATACTTCTCAGAAAAGGACATAGAATCAATCAACAAATATATGGAAAAAATGTTCATCATCTCTTGCAATTAGAGAAATGCAAATCAAAACCACTCTAAGATATCATCTCATTCCAGTCAGAGTGGCAGCTATTTTGAAGACAAACAACAAGTGTTGCTGAGGATGGGGGCAGTAAGGTACACTCACACACTGCTGGTGGGATTGCAAATTGGTGCCGGCAATATGGAAAGCAGTATAGAGATTCCTTGGAAATCTGGAAATGAAGCCACCATTTGACCCAGCTGTTCTTCTTCTCGGACTATTCTCAAAGGACTTGAAAATAGCACACTACAGGGTCACAGCCACGTCAATGTTTATATCATCACAATTCAGAATAGCAAACTGGAGCCAACCCAGATGCCCTTCAGTGGATGAATGGATAAAAAAATATGTGGCATATATACACCATGGAATTTTACTCAGCAATAATAAAATCATGGCAATTGCAGGTAAATGGATGGTATTGGAGAAGTGAAGTTAGTCAATCCCAAAAAACAAATGCTGAATGGTTTCTCTTACATGAGGAGGATGAATATAGTGGGGTAGGGAGGGGAACATGGGAGGAATAGATAAATTCTACCTCTATTAGAGGGGTGGGAGGGGAAGAGGCAGGGGATTAGCAGTGATGGTGGAATGTGATGACATCGATATTCAAAGTACATGTATGAAGACACAAATTGGTGCCAACATCCCTTATGTACAACCAGAGATATGAAAAATTGGGCTGTATACACGTAATAAGAATTGTGATACATTCCACTGTCATTGTTTTAAATCAAAAAATAAAAATAACAAACACACTTCAGCCTGTGTGAGGATCAAGGACGAATCCTTTCCACCACTCACCAAGACAATGAATTGCATTTTTGTTCCGGTGCACAGCTGCAGGAAGAGCGGGAATATATGTGAATTTCAATACCTGATACCCACTGGGATATATTTGGGTGAAATACAAGAGACAGAACATCGATGGTAGGAAAGGTGCAGAAGATCTGGGAGGCAGAAAAAAGTTGTCATGAAAGCAATCGACATTCTCAAGCTCAGCAGGTAGTACCTGTGATGACAAATGTCAACCCCAGCCTAATTCTTGCCTACATTAACACAGACCCTCACTTCATGCACGAGGAATACTGGTCATCAGCAATTTAAGAGGTATTTAACCAAATTTAATATCCTACACAACGTATTTTTGCAATGCACATTTTCAATAAAAGTCACACAATTTTTACTTCAATATTGAGTTATTTAATTTCTTTTGCATTTGTTATAATTTTAGAGTCAGCTGGGTAATTTTTACAAAATGACTTTTGGATTTTGGCCTCATCATATTGAACCTGCAGACCCACTGTGGAATATTGTGGTTTTAACAAAATCAAACTTTTGATCATTGAATATTAGCTGTTTTCCCACTTTGTTTCCATTTTTTTTTTTTTTTTTGCATTTTACTTTCCCCTTTATTTTTACTTTGCAGTGAACAGTTCTTTTGTTATAACTTTCATTTTAAATTATTTTTCCTATATTTGTGAATGGATTTATGCCTCAATTTTAACACTGCCCATTGCTAGTGTGTATAAATTACATGACTTAATGTTGACCATCTAACCCATGACATTATTGATCTAATTTAGGTCTTATGTTTCATTAGTGCATGGAAATTGCTTAGAAATATTATAGAAATAAGAATATCATCTGCATGTGCTATTTGACTTTTGATGTATAAAATGCTGTTCAATATTCTCAGAACAATATTTAGAAGTCAGAAAACCATACTTTTTCCTTTTTCTAAAACTAAATTGTGAAACACTTAGGTTCTCACCGTTAAATATGAAAACAGTTCATAGCTGCCCTTTAGTGGATGGAAAAAGAATTGTCCTCTGGTCTTCATTGGCCATAGGTTGTACAATAAATGACGTAGGTATGTAATCTGCCAAAAGCTTTTCTCTATCAAAATGATTTTTTGGAAACTGACCATATTGTCCCTCTTGGTCATGAAGTCCAATCTTTCTTTTTATTGTCATTCTCAGTTTGCTAGGGGTTCGAATACCTGGGTCAACGTCTATAGGAAGACGGTCTGCTATTTCCATTCTTATGTGTGTTATCTGGTAATTCTGGCCTCACAGAAAGAATTAGTCAATTTTCTTCTATTTTTAAATGTGATCATGAATTACTGTTACTGATTCCTTATTACATGTTTGGTAGAAATGAACTGTGAAAGCGTCTTTTTTAAATATGATTACTGTTTGGTTTTTTGGTGGGTGGATTTTTGGAGCTGGGTTTTTGCCAGGTTGGCCTCACATTCCTTAGCCCAAATCCTCCTCCTGCTGTAGCCTCACAGGTAGCTGGGACTAGGGGCGTGTGCTCCCAAGATCAGCTTTTCAGCTTCTCATAAAAATATTTGCAATTAAGTGAAATATTAATTTGTAGGTCTACTTTATATTTCTTCACATCTGGGTCTACTAATGTATTCTATTGATTCCTGAAGTAATTTTCAAAGTTGATGATTATCTTGCAATTTATCTATATTTGGTTGTTTTCCAGGCTCGAGACTTTCTTGGCAATTAGGTGGAATGATGAGCAAGCAAAATGTGGGGAAATGAGAACCTGGCATCTTGTGAATTCAACAATGTCTCAGGATGCCCTGTGCAGGACGGAGAGTGTGCACACATAATTCTCTGAGATAAATGAAGCAGAGAAGCTAAAGCAAATTATAATTTTAGTTAGCCTAATTAACAATCTTGAGTAGCTTTTTTAAGTCTTCACACACTTGTTTACTTTTTAGGGCAGAATCTAAGTATTTTACCATATTTAAATTAGGTTATTAAAGGTTTTTTTTTTTTTTATTTTTTGGTGAGTTGTGTAAGTTTCATATATTTTGGATGTTGAGCTTTTACCAGATATGTGGCTAGCAACGATTTTCTTTTACCCACAGTCTAGTTTTACATTTCATTGATTGATTCCTTTGCTGCATAGAAGCATTTTTAGCTTTATATAGTCTCACCTATCTCTCTGTTTTTCCTTGCACATACTCAACATGTTCTATTTAAAACCATTGCCAACATGAATGGTAAAGAATTCTCGTTTTCTTCTGGAATTTTTACGACTTCAGGTTATATCACAATGAGCTATAACCACATGCTTGTGGGTATTCTCAAAATGTTGGTAGGTAGCACATACTGCAGAGGATATGCAGGAAAGGAAACATGTGGACATCCTTGCCAGAAATATAAATTTGAATAGATATTTTAAAAAACTATAAGGGTTATTTTTCAAAAAATTAAAACTAGAGATGCCATATGACCCAGACATTTTGTTAAGAATATGCCTGTATTTTTCAGGGTTCTTCAGAAAATGAGAATAAAATACATAAAAATGGATGTGTGTATAGAAGGGAGCTTATTATATTTACTCACATAATCATGGGACGAATAGTCACCAAATGTTTGCCTGCAGGATGGCAACACTGGGAAACTGGTAACCGCTTGGTCCAAGATGCTGGAAGCTTCATAATGTGAGGAATCAAATGAAGCAGCTGTGGTCCAGGACAGAGGACTTAAAAGACCCTGGTAGATGAAAAAACAAATAATCCAATCAACAAATGGGCCAAGGACCTGAACAGACACTTCTCAGAAGATATACAATCAGTAAACATATGGAAAGATGCTCATCATCTCTAGCAATCAGAGAAATGCAAAAAAAAAAAAAAAAAAACTAAGATATTATCTCACTGCAGTCAGAATGGCAGCTATTATGAAGACAAACAACAATAAGTGTTGGCGAGGATGTGGGGAACAGGCACACTCATACATTGCTGGTGGGACTGCAAATTGGTGCAGCCAATATGGAAAGCAGTATGGAGATTCCTTGGAAATCTGGGAATGGAACCACCATGTGACCCAGCTATTCCTCTTCTCGGAATTTACCCAAAGGACCTAAAAATAGCACACTACAGGGACACAGCCACAGCAATGTTTATAGCAGCACAACTCACAGTGGGGTAGGGAGGAAGAGCATGGGAGGATTAGATTAATTCTACATAGGGAAGAGGGGTGGGAGGAAAATGGAAGGGGAAGGGGATTAGCAAGCATGGTGGAATGTAAGGGTTATCATTATACAATGATATGATCAACATCATTATTCAAAATACACGTATGAAGACTTGAATTGGGTGTCAACATACCTTACATACAAAGAGAGATGAAAAATTGTGGTATTTATGTGTATTAAGAATTGTAATGCAGAAAGAAATGAGTCCATGTATAATGGCATAAGTTGACGTGAATATTCTTTATATACAGAGATATGAAAAACTGTGCTCTATGTGTAATAAGGATCATAATGCATCCCACTGTTATCATGTATTTAAAAAAATAATAAAAACAATATATAAAATTAAATCATGACCTAAAAAACATCGTTAAAAAAAAGAAAGAAATTGTGAGATAGGATGCAGGGAGATCACAATTGTGAAGCTGACCCCAGCAACTGAGTGAAACCCTGCCTAAATTAAAAAAAAAAAAAAAATAGGCAGTAGTAATTTTAAAAAATCAAATTAAGAAATAAATTAAAAATTTAAATTTTTAAGTAAAAATTTAAAAAGGGCTGAGGATATAGTTCAGTAGGACACCCTGGAAATTCCATCCAGAAATAACCATTTCTGGCAATCAGCCACATTTTTTTTTTTTTTTTTTTTTTTTTGCCATACTGCATACAGTCTGACCAATACTATGAAATACCGTGTCAGTGTTATATGGATGTTATATAAATGTCACATTTCACATATAAGCATATTTTTAAAAGGACACCTGCAGAATTTGAAAAAAAAATGCAAACACAGATCAGTACATAAGAGACTGAATGATAAAATCCCTCCTTATACGGACGGCCGCTCCCCCAGGTTCATCTAGGATCACCCCATCAACATGTCACCATGATTCCTTTCCACCTCCGCCCGGGAAGAGGCCGGGCACCGCGCTCCCCTGCCACAGAGGACCTGAGCAGGGGCTGAGGCTGCCCCCGGGGGTGGGGAGGCCGCGAGGGGTGTCCGCCACTGTCACGCTCCCCACCCGGCTGGCCCGGGGGACTGAGGGGCGCTGTCCCCAATGGGTTCACGCCTGTGGTCTCAGAGAGCGCCCGGAGTCGGGTGGGCAGCTCGGGCTCCTGCCACTGCCGGTCCCGCAGCGGAGCCTCCCGGTCCAGGCACCAGTGGCCACCGCACACTCACCATTTCCTGGTGCCCAGCAGCCAAGCCTGCCCTGGGGAGCTTGGGCCCCTGAATGGCAGGGCCACCCGGGTCCTGCGCAGAGCGAAGCCTGGAGTCCAACTGCAGGAATCTGAGGGGAAGCTCTGACCGCGGAGAAATAAATCTCTTCCGGATTGCGGAAGCCCGCCCCCTGCTCGCTGGCTGCGCTCAGGATTGGACATCTCTCAGGATGGCACAGCGCTCAGGATTGGACAGCGCTCAGCACGGGGGCTTCTGATTGGACAGCGCGTCTGTCAGTCTCCGCCCTCCCCAGCCTGAGCCCAGCGAGCCTTCTTTTTGAGTGACAGGGGGGTGATATCAGCTCCAGGCGAGGAGGTGGCCAGAATGGCAGGGTTAGGCTGCAGCTTTTGTCTTTTTTTGTTTTCCTTTTGAGGTCTGGGCATTGGGTCAGGGTTAGGGTACCAGAATTCTAAGTTCTGTTGGGTTTTGATGTTAGGAAATTGAAGTCATTTTGAAGTGGCACCCCCTTTCTTTACAGAAAAGCCCTCTTCACCATGGCTGATTTTAGGACTGTCAGCCAAAGAGCCCATTGTAGATAAACTTCCTATTTTCGTGTCACCCTGTTTACTTGGCCACTGGCCGAGAAGATACCAGCACTCCAGGTGCTGGACACCCCCTTACTAGTTTTCACAAAGGTATCCAGTATAGTACTTTGAAGAAATGTACAATCAAGGCCTCTGGCCTTGAGCTGGGCTTCACAGAAACGTCTACATTTTTAAGATAAGTTACAAATGGGCCCATGGTAACAGCTGGCAGGGGAAGGAAAGAAAGGGGAGATGAAGCTCTCCCCTTCTCAAGTGTTGTCCTTGAAGGGTTAACTTGCCCAGAACAGTGAAAGAAAAAGCTGCTTTTATGTGAACTTCTGCAGACTGTGAACTTCTGGGCCCCTCCCCTTACATGCTGGGTATAAAACTCCCCTGAACTCGGGGTTCAGGGGATTGATTGATTACAGCAAAAGCTGTGCCCTCTGAGCCTGGCTGCAGCCAAATAAAACTGTTCCTGCTGTCTTCGGTGCCTGGCCTCATTTGTCCCTACAGTATTTTGGAGGGGCACATACAAATGTAGCAGCCACAGTGCTAGTTTGTCAGTGAAGAAATGCACAGGCTGAAGCAACAGGTGATCAGTGCAGCCTTTGTGGGACAGGCTCAAGGAGCCCTTTGCCAAAATTTACAATCCTAGAGTGCTTTACTGAGAAGTGTGCCAGTGAGCTGATGAAGGTGGACACCACAGTTTTCATCAGTCGAGATCCAGAGACTCAAAGATAGGCAGACCAGAAAGATGAAGTGGAGGATGGATCTCCTTACAGCTGCCCTCACCACAAACCCAGAGGTCACTCAAAGGGGGGTCTCACTAGAACAAAGCCAGTGCTCCAAATTCCAAATGTTTATAAGGAAAAAAAAGTGTGGCCAGACAAAATGGGAAGCCCCCAATGGCCCTGGCAGACAAGTACCCCCTGCCATGTTCAAATGGCCCTGGCAGACAAGTACCCCCTGCCATGTTCAAAAGCCTTGAACAGAGAAGGAATGAACAGTTTCTTCCACTTGCTCAGAAGTGGATGATTGACAAATATGGCAGGGGTCCCATAGACACAGAACTAAATCAGATGCTCGGGACCCAGCGCTTCAGGAGGGCTCAGCTGCTGCAAGCCTCCAAATGAACCAGGAATATGTTCATGTTAGCAGCCAGTAGTGGGCCATAGGGTGCTCACTCCAAAAGGACATGCCACCCTGGCTCCAAGCCACACGCTGTGAGCCACTAGCAGGAAGGGCCACAGAGCCCCATGCACCCAGGCACACTGAACAAGAACACAAGCAGGGCAGCTACTATGGACAGTTAGAGCAGGCTCCCACCTGACAAGAGGAGAAAGCCACGCAGACAAGGAGCAACACTTAGGTGGGCACAATGTGGCTGCCACACTGGGACCTGAATGGAACCGCACTGCTGCCCTCCAACCTTGGCAGATGGCCCACAGCGAGGTTGACATAGGTGCCTTTTACACAAATGATGCCCCAGGTCATCAGCCTCTGCTAAGATTCACATTAGATTTAAGAGTTGGAGAATCCCGGCAGCCAAGATCCTGCACTGGGAGATAACAAAAAAATTCCTGCATCTTAAAGTGCCAGACGCTCTATGTATGTCCCCCTTCCCTAAATGGCAGTTCCTCCCAGGGGCTTGAGTACACCATCCTTGGGACAGCACTGGACTCTGACTTAAAAGCCCATATCTACCAAGAAAAAGGTCAAATACCTTGGTTACCATCTGACTCGGCAACAGAACAGACAATAGCAACTGGGCCTCAAAAGACACAGGAGATCTGCTCAATTCCAGTCCCTCCAACCTGCCATCAGACTAGAGAATTCTTGGGGGCTACTGGGTTCAGACATGTATGGATCCCCAACTTTCAGTTTTGACAAAAGCCCTCTATGAAGCCACAAAGGGGGGAGAATGGGATCCTCTGATGTGGGGGTCAACTAAGCAAAAGGCCTTTAAGGACATTAAACAAGCACTCACCTGTGCACCTGGATCAGGGCTCCCTGACCTCAGAAAGCCTTTCTTTCTGTATGTCCATGATCTGTCTGGAGTACCTATAGGAGTTTTGACTCAGATGCTGAGGGCATGGAACCGTCCAGTGGCCTATTTGTCCAAACAGCTGGACTTGGTAGCCCAGGGCTGGCCACCTTGTTTATGGGCCCTTGCAGCCACAGCTCTTCTGGTGTTGGAAGCTGAGAAACTGGCCACGGGACAAGAACTGGCTGTCATTCCTCATTCAATTTTGACATCGTTAAAATATAAAGGACACTATTGGTTGACTAATGAAAGAATGGTCAAATATCAGGGCATGTTATGTGAAAACCCACGTATCCACATTGAGGTCCTCAGAACTCTAAACCCAGCAAATTTGCTGCCCGTTGGACCTGGAAAACCTGATCACAAATGTGTTGAGGTCATGGACGAAGTGTTCTCCAGCAGAGCAGCCCTCGGGGACGCTGATGCAGAGTACTTCACAGATGGAAGCAGTTTTATAAAAGATGACGTATGTTTGGCTGGATATGCAGTGGTCACTCTGGACTCCACTGTCGAGGCAGAACGTCTGCCTCAGGGAACTTCAGCACAAAAGTAAAACTTATTGCTTTGATTCAAGCACCTCAGTTGACAGCAGGAGTCTGTGTGGATATTTACAGACTCAAAATATGTGTTCGCTACCTTCATGTTCATAGGGCCTTATGTAAGGAAGAGGGGCTCATTAACTCAGGAGGGAAAAAAAGGCATGATGTATGGGCAAGGAATTCTTGAACTTTTGGATGCACTGTGGGCTCCCAGGAAGGTCGTGATTATATATTGCCAAGGTCATCGAAAGGGAAACACTGTGGTTGCTCAGGGCAACCGGAGAGCTGACAGAGAGGCCAGGTTAGCTGTCTGCAAGAAACAGGAAGAAAATCCCGTCCCAGGTTTAAATGCTGCCCCTCTGCCTGGCCGACTAGCTAACAGAAAGGGAGCCAACACACTCCCAACATAAAAGTCAGTGATTTAAGACTGAACAAGAAAATTCTCTTCCAGGTGGATGGTGGAGATTTTCTGATGGCCAGAATAGCCATCCCGGAGTTTCTAGCCCCAGCCTTTATCAGACAGTTTTGCAGGAAAACATGTTGGACATACAGCACTTGAGACAGTTCTGAGTCAACATTTCTATGATCCCCAGCTCACAAGCATCACCTGGATGATCTGCAAACAATGTGAGGTTTGTGCTCACAACAATCCTTGTCAGGGGCCAAAGCCTTCACCAGGAATCCAAAGTATAGGAGGAGCACCTTTTGAAGACTTGGAAGTAAACTTCACTGAACTTCCACGCTCACGGGGCTATAAGTAACTTTTGGTTTTTTTATGAGTTCATACTCTGACTGGGTGGAAGCCTTTCCCACCCCCACTGAAAAGGCTAAGGTGTCCCCATAATCATTGGCTCAGACAATGGGCCAGCTTTGGGGCAGAGGTGATATGATTACTGACCAAGAGTTTAAATATCAGATGGAAGTTACGTTCTGCCTTTAGGCTGCAGAGTTCTGGTAAAGTTCAAAGGATGAACAGGACTTTAAGGCTCGATTGGGTGAGCTGTGTCAGGAGACTCACTTACATTGTGATGAACTTCTCCCTATTACACTGTTGTGGATTAGATCCACTCCCACTAGGAGGACTGGATTCTTTTCTTTTGAGATAATATATAGGAGCCCCCCCCCTTATTAGGGGACTACAGGGAGACTTAAGAGAGAGAGGAGAATTAACCCTGAGTCGACAGCTTCAGGTCTTAGGGAAAACTTTACAGGTTCTCAACCAATGGGTTAGAGAAGATTGCCAGTAAGTTTCACCCAGGTGCACACTCCTTCAAGCCTGGAGATTGAGTCTGGGTCAAAGAATGGAATATTCAGCTCCTGAACTTGTTTGGAAGGGCCCTTTCACTGTTATTTTATCCACCCCAACTACAGTCAAGTTTGCAAAGACAGGTCCCTGGATTCACCACACCAGACTCACGCCTGCAGCTGCGGCCTGGGAGTGCTCTCCAGATGCTGCTACGCCCTTGAAGCTGACCATCCCCAAGAAAAAGGAGCACCAGAGAAGCTTGAGGATCAGAAGGACAACAGCCCTGCTCCAGTCACTCTGGAAGCTGACTGGTCTACGCATGGCCAAAGCTTGAGGAGACTAGGACCCTGTTTCAGCCACACAGGAGGGGACTGGCTGATTGATACACAGTGAAGGATAACCTTCCCCCCAGGACTAATGGACTCTTTCAACCTCTGAGATAGTTCCTCTACTGTGATGCATTGCCACCCCTGGCTTCTGGATATGTGCACAGTTCTCTGGTTCTTACTACTGGTTTGATAACAGTAACTCTTACTGACTGGACTCTGGGTAACAAAATCTCACTTATAGTTTTTTTTTTTTTTAATCTTGCTTACATAAGCTTTCTAGGGTTTGTTTGGGGTTATTAGTTTGGCTCTGTTAATTCATGCTGTTTAACCTATGCTAACCAAAATGTTAGTCTATTATCCAGTTTGGTTTCCTTTGATAACCTTAAG